ATTTTCTTTCTTACTCGTTTTTACTCCAAATTGCATCATTTTTGCTTCATTTGCTCCAAAATTCCATTTCTTGTATGTGAAACCAAAAATATGCAAAATACCTTCCTTTAAAGTGTAATATCATTAAAAATTATTAAAATTGAGCATAAAATATCTATCATTAAAAATTATTAAAATTGAGCATAAAAAATATATATAAAAGTAGGTAATTTTTAGGCGTATCAACCACCCTCAGAAGTGCTTAAAGAGAAAGAGTTGGAAGAAAGCCCTAGGCAAGAGAGTAACCCAATAGAATTAGATTCTAAACCTGAAGAACCCGAGGATAATCCAACCAAAGATCTGGGAGAACCGAAGCTATCATTTATGGACCTGTTTCTTGCAATCATTGGAGAAAATACTAATATGGAAAAAGAGAAAGTAATTGGGAGAATATTGTATTTATAAGGAATCATTAGGAATGGTAATCTAAATCAATTCCTTATATGCCCTTAGGATGGCTGCTATCGAACTGAGAGGAAAAGGTTGCAAGAAAAATTGAAATTTGAACATTTAGTAGGCACTCCATGATCAACAATAAATTGGGTGATTCAAGATTTATTAAATTAAAATTTTGATCCTAGAGGAAGCCTTTTTTATTAGGCGAAGGATGTTAGACTAAGCCCTTTCTTGGGATGAAACATAAGTGTTATCACATATATTAATCATGTTTTTTACTTTCTGCATTTACTTTAAAATTTGTTTTAAATTTTGCTTTGAAAATTTCTTTGAAATTTGCATTAAATTTTCTTTTAAATTAATTTTGAGTCTTGTCCCTCCACGGAGTAACTTATGAATCATTACCTATTTTACATTTTTATTTTCTGAGATTCATGTGACTACTTCAACATTTACCTTTTTTTCCTGTACTTACCTACTTTTTCATTTACTGCTACTTTCTATTATACATGTGTGAAAAAAAACCAAGTTTAGGGGAGAAAAATGTACCTGGTTGTGAATTTGAAAGTTAATTAACATAGCTCAGTAAAAAAATAATTTTCATTTTGGTAACTCTTGTAAGGCATACTAATTAATTCAAAATATTTATCATAACTTATTAAAAGTAGATAAATATCATTTAGAAAAGATTAACATCATTAAGTTAATAAGATTCATAATTTAACAACTATAAACTTTACTTAAAAGAACCCATAAATCATTAAAAGGTATAATGTAAGTTTTAAGTAGTAAATCAAGAATATCCTTAATATTTTTTAGTCCATTTTAACTAAATTAATGAGATATCAAGTGCTAAATGAAAAAGATAACTTAAAGGTGGAGTGTTAAAATAACAAGTGTTGAGTTTTTATTTCTTAAGAAACATTACCCTTCTTCACATTTAAAAATTTGAAAAGAAAGAAAATGTTGTCAATCAAATATAACAATTCTCAAAGAAAAAGAAGAAGAAAAAGAAAAGAAAAAATAAAAAGTAAAAATCCCTGAAGAGAAGCATGAGGTTGGCCCAACAAAAAATTAAGAAAAGAAAAAAATAATTAAACGGAAATAGTGGAACTTAGGTGATAAACCTTTTTCATAATTTTTTAATGAAACATACTTTAAAAGTGATCTTCAAGGGAAAGAGTTAAGGAAATATTAAGTTGGCTAAAATTCATTGAAACTACTTTAAAGACATTCAAAGTTAGTGAAAAAGACTTAAAATAACACCAATTTAAAAATCTGTAAAATTTTCTTAAGGATAGAATGAAGGGAATTAAAGAAAGGTCAAGTTATTAATCATTAAAACTGAGTGATCCTATAATGACATTTAAACACTTTTATTAGCTTCTGTGAACATGATGAATTGTTAGAAACTCTGGGGTGCCACTTCAATTCATGGAATACAAACTGAGGCGTATGATTACTTGAGGACAAGTAATAAAGTAAGTATGAGGGTATTGACGTGCATCAATTTCACATGATTTTACCTACTATTTTTTATTGATTTATCATAGATTTACTCTTAAGAAAGATCTTTGTTGATGATGTGAAAGTTATATGTATCAAAGACGTAAAATAGAGTAAAAAATCTTGATATAGTGTTGTCTGGCACAATCACACCAGAACTTGGCATGACCAAGCCATAACCTGGTGTGACCACACTGATTTCTAGCTTGGCCACACCACCAAAAGTCCAGAAATCAGATTTACATGATTTCTTGCCTATTTCGGATCCAGTGACATATTTAAAAAGTTTAGATGCCTATTTTGAATCCTTAATGTAAAAACTAGCTATAAAAACTTGTTTATGTCAAGAGAGAAATTCTTCTTGGCTTCTTGGCCTCTTCTTAGCATTGAAAGAAAAGTTCTGGATCAATGAGTCATTGGAGGCAAGATTCAGAGAAATTTTAAGAGCTTTCCTCCTCTTGTGGAAACTTTGTAGGGTGAGAGTTTCATTTGTTTTTTGAGTTGTGAGAGACTTGTATGAGAGGAGGGATTGCTAAATATGTGGAGAAGACAAATTAATGTAAGTTTTGCATATTTATGCTCCTTACAATTAAACCTTGCATAATTTCCCTTACTATGAGTTTCTCAATGATGTGTGGCTAAATTCATTCTTTGTGTTTCTGTGGTATGGGGGTAGTGGATTTAATCGTGATTTTTTCATAATATTTTTCCTTTAGAGTTTTCTCGTGCTTTCATGGCCTAAATTGTTGGTTAATCTAAAAACTTAATTTACTCATAATCTGACCAACTAGGATTTTAAAAAATTTCATGAAGCTATGACATCTAACCATTGCAAAGTGGAAACAAAGGTTTAATCACAAAATTCTGAGAGGATATACATATTCAAGTGAAATTATGCAATCATTTTAGAAGATCAAACAAGTATGCAGAATGCCATAAGGATGAGGAAGCCTCAACTTCATGGATTCCATACTTCTTTCGACCAGACATAGGCATAATAAGTATTATATCCCCAATTAACAACAATCATATATGAAAATATTTAGAAAAAGTATGACCACCACAATCACTAAATCACAGAGGCACGAGTTTCATCAATTTAGAAGGAACTCACAAAATCTTTATGCTATTTCTATTTTATGTTGCCTGTCATTCACTATAATTTTGTAAAGTTTTAGAACTTAAACCATCTTTGTAATCTCGTCAAGCTAGATTAACTAAATTAGTAAGCTAGAGATTTTTTTACAGAAATAATTGTTAGACTTTTCTCATGGGATCGAAATACAGACTCTTAAACTGCATACTACTTAAGATGTGCACTTGTGTTGTACAATCAACTTATTTTGCAGTACAAAAATACAGGAATAAAAGCTGGTAAAAGATGTAAAATTGACTCATGTTAGTTGACTTCCTTAACGTGGTAAAGAAGAGACGACATTTTAGATGCCAAAAATCCTTAATAAACATATAACTGAATCAAATGTGACTATGTGGTCGGTCAGATCGATTTTGTCCTTGTATAACTAGTGTTAAGATTTTAAAACTACTCTTGTGGCTTAACCTCAAATAGTGATAGGAAAAAACATTCTCAGGCTATGAGGGAGCTTTAGAATGCCCGAATCAGTATCATTGGATCGGTCCTGACCCAGCACTATCGAAGTACTAGGAGTCACCTTCGCTTTCTAGGGTATGAGGGATTCTTTAACCCTTGGGATTCGACTCTTCCTCTTAGAGGTGTTGATCTCTTCCCCGAGACAATGCGTTATGGATGGCAACTAATATTTGTTTCTTCAATTCCAGTATCTGCTAGTTCACATTCAATATTTATTATCGGCGTCGCTGTTGTGGATTTCTTCTTTGTGGGATGGTCCTCTTCTTGTTCATGACATAATAAACACTCACCACACCTTTTAAGATATTGAATCTTAATTTATTTGTGAATCATACCTAAGGAATGGAGCGTAAGACAAGAGATAGAGAGAGAAGTGAAGAGTATGTATAATAATACCCTATGTCTTATTCATGAAATGATCTTCCTATTTATTGGGGAGAGTACATTGTCATGCCCCTTACATTAAAGAAACCAATGTATGTTATTCTTGGTATTTACATGTATAAGCTCGTCATCTGACTACTCTTAAGCTCAGTTGGATGAGCTTGATTTGTTTCAAATCGGCAGAACCAGTTCGGTCAGCTAGGCTTGGTCAAAATTGTCGGTCGCCTCATCTAATCTGGTTGTTCGCTCTTGATAATAAGTGTGGAGACTTTCGGACGTCCCCGATTTGATTAATATGCTGAGGGATTGAGTCTTCCCTCAGGTCGACATCTTGGTCTTTGGTTGGGATGCCATTTTATCTTGTTTTTGACCGAACAGTTTACTGTGATTATTCAGTCATTTTTAGTTGGATGGTCAGCTTTGACCCTGCTGGTTTTGGCTACGACAGCTGCACTCACTTGGATAAGTGGGTCTCACATTCTTCTATCGGTGGGTGTCATCTCTCATTGTACTATTCTCCTCCGAACTGTTAGATCTCCTCAGGATTAGCGTTGATATATTTTTGATGTGCACTTTATGTTGAATTCGATAAACTAATAATCAATTAGTTTAGGACATTTTCCAATGCACTATTAAATTATTATATCTCTATATGGCCATCTCTTAAATTTTAATATTTGTTTTTTTAATGCTCAAATATCTAAATTACATCCAAATAAAGTTATAAAATTTTATATTATACTTTAAATTATTTGTGATTTAAAGATTATAGTTTATAAGCATATAAAAATTCAGGAATTAGATATAAAACATATAAGAGTTTAATTGCATGCATACATACATACATACATATACATACATACATACATACATACATATACATACATACATACATACATACATATACATACATACATACATACATACATATACATACATACATAAAAATCTTCTTAATTTTTATATTATTTTCGTCTCAATATACATAAAAAGCATTTTATTAATTAAATTTTAGTTAAAATATGTAAACACCGGAAAGCTTTTTTAGCTCTTCGGCAGCCTCATCGTGCCACCCGCTCATTCACACTCTCCTAAGCTGTAAAATTGTAAGCTTCCTACCTCAAACAATCCAGGAACATAGTAAAAACCTCCTCGGAAGAACTGAAGGAGGCACTCGATTTCTGGGCACTCGTAATTTTTTGCCTTTTCACGCCCCAATTTATCTTTCTTTTTGTATGGGTTGGAGGGCTTCCAACACAGAAGGGGAGCTCGAGACGTCTCCCTATAGACAAAAACGCCACCTTTCGAGCTTCAACCAGTTCGCCTTTCTCCTCTTTCTTTCCATCAACTTTTCCCCTTTCTTACTCTTTTCTTCCATTTTTCCCAACTTCTTTTCTGCAACACTTTTCCCTTTGCAAGCATGTCTGGCTTATATAACCACAGCGATTGCTTCTACCCCGCTAAGCCCCTCTCTCCACAGATAAGAAGCAGTCCTGATGTAGATAGGTATTGGCAGAGACGAGATTATATTAAAGATGAGATTTTTCACTATTCGTTTCTAACTTCTCTTAACCGTGATCCTTTGTAATCATTTTTAATGTTCGGCGATCTTTATCTGTCTCTATGTTGATGATGATAGCCAGTACTTGGCGGAGTTGTTGGCGGAGCATCAAAAGCTTGGCCCTTTCATGGAGGTTCTGCCCATTTGCAACCGTTTGTTGAGTCAGGGTTAGTGCTTCGCTGGATTCCGTTTTTTATTTTTTCATGGAGTTCCTGATTTAGGAATTTTGAATTTTCTTTCTATGCTTATGGAATCGTGATGTGGATCTTGCCGTCTTGGCTTTGATCATGGATTTCTGACATCGGAAGAAATAAACTGCAATACTTCATAATGCGTTCTATATGAAATAAATAACAAAGCTAATTTCTTTATGGTTTTGTTTCCAGTTTTCTTTGGGACTGTTTGAAACTTAGTGATTTCATTGACAAGATGGCTGATAAGCATTGATAAGCAGTCATTTTCTCTCTATTAATGATTTCTTTCCCATCTTCATTTACCATTAAAGATGTCCTTCTCTTCTGATTTTTATTTTTATTTATTTATTCTGCAACTTGTTTTGGCGTCTGTTGCTCTGCTGAAACAGTACAGACTTTAATCAGTTCCACACATGCTTTTCTGACTTATTGAGCTGTTGCTTCATGAGTTTGTGTACGTTGTCCTTGATTTCATCCTTAAAGTTTTCAAGAAGTATGTAAGCTCTTCCAAAACTTGAAATGCTGTATACTTTTCTAATGTCGGAGGAAAGAGGCTATTAAAGCAAACTCGGTAGGTGCTAAAGTATGAGTGGCCTGTGGTTTTTGCATTCCTTTGTACCTTTTTGGCTATAAATTTACTGTCTTTCTGATGGGATTTTTTGTCTTTAACTTTTTCATAAATATGATATGTAGATTAGAGTCGGGGAAAATTTATTAAAGTTTGGAAGCTTTACTTACCTACCACCTTAACTATACATGGAAAAGATGTATTTCACTCTTAAAGGTTAAAATGGTGGTATTTTTTATGTGATATGAAAGATTTGAATGTTATAAATATAAAAAATAGAATTTAGGTGTTAGATATGTAAATTCATAGGAATTGAGTGGTATGTATGTAAATGACTTAAGTTTGTTGTTAGGACTTGATATGTATTTTATTTTGGTTACTTTTCAGTAAAAAATAGGATTGCTTAGTATTTTCTTATGTCTAATGTCAACCCAATTTGAGCAGTATTATTCAGTAGGCGTATCTTTTTTAGGTTGATTGATGCTTCCTTTTCCATCTTCACTTCTAATATAGTTTTCTTATATCTTATTTATCCTCGAAGAGTTAGTAGTTTTGACAAATTTCACAATTTATTCGGCAAATTGGCTTTAGCACATGATTGTATGCTGTGAAGGTACAATTCAATCCATAAGGACAAGCTCCTTTCTTTTTCTTGTGCTTCCTATTTAAACAGTAGTACTTGGTATTACCTAAAAGTTGAATGATATTTTTCTATCTTCCTAATATTACATGATTTCTTTTGTATATTTTAATAGTCTGAATTGCTAGAAAAATGTGATTAAAGTGAAATTTAAAAGAGATTCCTTATATATTCTCAAGAGCCTCCTTATATATTCTCATTTTTGTATATATTTTGCTTGATTTTTTTGTTTTCAAAATTTGAAGAATTTTGGTTTTTTTTCTGAAATTTGAAAGATTATGAACACCTCTAATGGCCATGGCAAGTGATATTAAATGAGAGATAGATGGTTGTAAAGTGTGCTTGTTATGGTTGCATTTTGAATTCCAATTGGTGTTAAACATTTTCTTACAAGCAAATCTTTATATTAATGCTATATTCTCTGTAGGCTATCTTTATAATACAATACCAGAAAAAATATGTTCCAGTGTAAAAAAAAAGTAAGAGCAATTATAACTTCCATTCCTTTTCTTCTTTGTTCTTATTTGAAAAATATTTTCTCTTGTAATGTTCAAGCAAAGTCGGTTTTGAATTTCCCAATTTTTGCAAGAATGTGCCTTTGTTTGTGTTCTTAAGTAAATCATACCAGTGTTATCAACCAATGCAGCTCAGGTTTGCTAGAATTGACAAAAATGCTTCTACATATTTAACTAATTAACCTTTTCAATGGTTTTTGTCTACTAAGTAAGCTAGTTAGCTTGTTTCGTTTGTGTAGAAGTCTTTTATCTCATTTTAAGCATTAACAAAGCTTCTAGATTGTGTCATTGGCATCATAATTTGCTAACTTTACCTTGCAACTTGTAGCGTAGGACACTTAACGCAAACAATATGAAGCTGTTTAAACTTATTTATGCGGTATCTTCGACCTATTGGGTTGAAGAATGATTTGATTATGACAACTTAAATGCGATTTATTTCTATATTTCTATTTTGACCCTTACAGTAATCTAGGAAAAAAATTTGTGAGTACCATTTCTTAAAGTTTTGGTTTGTCCCTTAAAAAGTGAGAGGTTGACAAATGCTTTCTAGTTTTGGCCATTGTTTTGGGTTGACTGAGAAATAAGTTCATCCTCAGAACTACATGTCACAAATGATCTTTAGTAGATGGACCATGGAAGTTTGTTCATCTCACTACTTTTTCTCTTTTTTTGGCATTTCTAATTTTAGTTAAATAAGAATTCTCACCAGGAGATGCCTTTGAATAGCTGCAATTTCTGTGTCTTTATAATTTGTTTCTAATGGAACCCTTATGTAGATATTTTCTTAAAATAAATAATTTTCTTAACCTTACGTCAAATTTATTTTTTATGATAGAGCTCAGCTGTGTTTTCTTAGAGCTGATGTCTGGATATTTGGCATGTCTCCATACCCTGAAAATTTTAAGATGTAATTTATTCTGCAAATTGAGAAGTCATACTCATAACAGGAATTTGATATTTTGATGCTTACCATATCTCCGTATTTCTTAAATTCTCAATCAGTGTATTCTTCAAATTGTAAAGTCAGGGTCATACTGGGATTACTGTCAACCAAATGAATTAAATACTACTGCAATTAGGTAACTTATGCTGTAAATATAGAATTGAAGATTCACGAAAGAGCAGCATGTGTGTGTGTGTGTGTGCGCGCGGCGTGAGTGCGTGCGTGTGTGTCTGTGTGTCTGTGTGTCTGTGTCTGTGTCTAACCTGACTCATTAATGCGGCCTCTGGCATAAGTCCCTCGGGTCAGGGGTTCGAATCCCGTGGCCCGGGCTTTTCGAATCAGAATCAAGCACACCTATATATATATATATATATATATATATTGTTATTACAATTAAACATGACTGATATGCACTTTTTCATTGTGTCACGCTTTGTCCGTGGACACCAAAAAATGAAAATGTTCATTTGTAACATTTTCATAATTAGCTTTTAATTATTTTTCCTCTTTTAATGTCTAGTATTAATGACCATGTGAGTATTATAAACTATAGCTCTTTTGTAATGTTCTACCATGCATTAGCAGTAAAATGCCCTTGGAGGATGATTATGCCTTTGTGAGTAGGGAACAAAAGGAGGTGAAAAGGGAAATATTATCATTTACTCTTTGATGTAATTTAATATATGATATTTTAGGGTCTATGATTTTCTAATTGAAGTCGATAATGAGATGCACATAATTTTGCAACAAATATAATTTCATATATCACAAACTTTTAGTTTGGACTATCATTCATTAATTGGAGAATCTCAACGTAGATGATAACTCAATAGTTTTTACTAGAAACAATGTTTAGAAATTCGGAATGAAGAAAATCATTCAATGAATTTGAAAATCCTGCACTGGGAAACAAATCAGATTATCTCTAACTTGAATAAATTCAATCACTCAAGCAAATCAATAAAAATATTTAGGAAAGAACTAAGGTTAAGGGAAATAAGTCATGAAATCAAGCCTCCTATTTGTACAAGGAGATGGTTTATCTTGAAAATTTTAATCAAGAAGTAGACTAGAAAGAATGTTACAACCAACTAGAAGTTTATTAATAAATAAACGGGCTATTATTTTTACATGCTTGAAACCGTCTTTTTATAAACATAAAGTCTCCTTGCATTTCTCTTACCCCTAATTCTCAATTGACAAAAGTCACATGTAACTAAGAAACAAAAATCTTAAATTGAGCCAACTCATAAAAGATAATCCCAGAAATCTTGCAAATTATAAACACCTTACTTGAAAAATAACAAAATTTGCCGTATTATCTGTTGGAATTCATCAATCACTGGGACAATAGATTGAACAACTAATCCACAACAACAAAAAAAAAAAAATCACCGAAGCCAGAAAAATTCCCTAAAATCAACCTCCAAAGTACCTCGTCACAACTCGCAAGACACCATAAAATTTAGACTCCATAGTACATAATTGCAAGCCTCAAAAGGGATAATCACATTAATTGAGATTAGAAGGAAAATTTTAAAGAATACAAACTAACACTTATGGTAAGATGGTAAGGAATATCATAATCATACTTTACTTAACAGAAAATTCAAAATAGAATTTCTATTAAAAATAAAAATACTAAAATAATGGTTTTTTTTGTAGGTTGTTCTATGCTAAATAATAATAATAATTGTAATCATTAATAAATGCTTGAACAGATGATGATGAAAATGCAACAAGGACATTGAGAAGTAATATATTTCATATAATTCAACCACAAAAAATATCATATTTTTTCATCTAGAAGGAAATTACATATATGATGAAATATTTGCAAAAAATATTTAAAATTTTAAATTAACTAGAAAAAAATATTCTTTTTATATTTTAAATTGAAAACCCTTGATTTTTAAGAAACTAATGAAAAATACCATATTTTTTGGATTTTTCTATGTTTAATTAGGATTGTTTTTGTAATTTTACACAATAAGATAAAATTCTATTACTAATACTCTTGGCTAGATTGGGGCCGGCTCACATGTCACGTGTTGATTTGTTCCGTAGATGTTGCGTATGATTTCCATGTTAGCGTGATAGTGTAGGATCGGTGCAACTATATCAAAGCTGCGAAATCTTAAATCTAAGCTGACGGTAGCTACTCATCTCCTTTCTCTTAACCAAAAATTCTAGGCTAGGTGATAAAATAAGTTAAGAAATTTTACAAGAAACATATGGAGGCAAAGGGTGGCTAGACTTGGATGAGAGGAAGTGGTTGTCGCTGTCTCAGGAACTCGTTGGCAT